GAACAGGTTGGTGGTTGGGGGGGGGGCATAGAGATTCATTGTCCTGTCCGTCTTGTATCTCTGTGTGAGAGAAACATGAAGACAGAAAAATGGGTGGCGGCTTGGGAAGGGTAGTGGATGAAGGGGAATAGTCCGAGACTGCTTTCCATCTGTTTCAGAAATTGTTTATCCACCAACCACAAAATGCAATGATAATTAATGTTGCAGGTTAGAGCACTTGCAAACCTCAGTACAGTTACGTTTATTATTGATTAAGAGTGGCTTTGTCGAATGCAGGGTGGCGGGGAGTGGTAAAACAATTTTCCTCTTTTTTTTATATTTCGCATCTCTTTCTCATCGCTAGAACAGCAGTAACAACGGTCCTGTTTATTGGGGAAAAGGGGGGGGGGGTGTTGAAGTTGTTTGTTTCTTTGTTGTTGTTGTTTTAATTTTTTTAAATAATTTAATTTATTTCATTGTATTTTTTTTTGGATTTGGGGGGGGGGGGATTGTTTTTGTGTGGGATTTCCCCCCCCCCCCCCCCCCCCTTTTTGTTTTTGCTGTGGAATGTTTTACACCCCCGCTGTTTACCCTATCTCTTTGTTGTTTCTCCCCCAGTGCTTGATTATCATTTTCTTTTCGTTTCTCTTCGCTTTCTAGTTAATATTTTAAAAGTTTGTGTAGCTGCTTCCTTTCTGCCGTCTACTTTGGCTTCTATATCGTTGTACCCCTTCGAAAAAGCTACAACGTGTATTTTATAAACAGCAATTAAAGTTTTCGGATCCGGTAATAGAAAATGAAGCCTAATAGAAAGAAGTGGAGCCGCGAAAATTGAAGATAACGAAGTTTTGTGAGCCTCCCGATAGCCATAACACAAACATCGATTAAACGCGCCACGTTTTGGGAAGTTCCAAACACAAAAATTGCTCCCCATTTATTACCTCATTTTTGCGTGGAGTCGCTGCAGGGTAGACTTGGTTGGGAGAGGGTCCTCAGCCGGCGTTCCCCATTACGTATTTCGTCATGATTTATTTTTTTCGCGAGGCATGGAAGAACATTGTTGAATGCAATCAGTGGAAATATTATGTATCGGGAATCTAAAAATGTATGTCCTTGAGTTCAAATAGACAACACTAACTTGCGAAATTCAATGATGATAACGTTGTCAGATGTCTAAATAGAAATAGATACTGGGCTGTCTAGACGGTGCATATTTCTGTGATAGTGTCTGTACAGGTTTTCCAATTGCATAGGCTTAGCATGACGCCTTTCTATTGATAAGTTATAATGATCATAGGGAAGCATCGATTTTTGTATTATTTTTGTGGGTTTTTTATGAGGAAAACAAAGTAGTTGTTAGAGGGTGCTTCTGGTAATCCTTCTTCTTTTCTTTCTCTCTGAGTTTTTTCTGTCGTTTCTCTCTTACTCTCTCTCTCTCTCTCACTCTCTCTCTCCTCTCTCTCTCTCTCTCTCTCTCTCTCTCTCTCTCTCTCTCTCTCTCTCTCTCTCTCTCTTTCAGCGCTTCAGACTGTTATTGTATCCCTGTGTTTCTATATACTCAAGTAAGATTCGGTTAAGTGTCTCGTGTTGCTCGAGTTTTACCGAAAAAAGATTTCTGCCAATGAGCTTTAATTGAAGATAATCCGAACTGAGACTTGCTTTGTGGGGGAAACAGCGACATGGTAGGGTTATTTTAGTTGGGTTTTTTCGTTTCCGCTTTTTTTCTATTTTCTCTTATCTGGAACTTTGAAAACGGCAAAATTTGTATTGCTATCTTTCTAATTTCTGATATAATAAGTGCTAACTCGACCCAGCGACCCAATTTAGGTCATTCATGAGGCGGGCATCGACCCTGACTGTCAAAGTCAACCCGGGGTGAGATTGACACAGCGTTCCAGCAGAAAGAACGATATCCTTCCTCAAAAGTAACTAACGTTTAACTACATTAGTTCGTACTGCTCTCTGGGATGTCCTGTTTAGACCCATTTTTTGTTATAGAAGATGAGCTTCGGTCCTGCCTGTCAGGGCCAACCGGGGATGAGAGGGTTATAACATCCCAGCCGAAAGACCGAGCTATTCGATAAACTATCTCCCCATACGGTAATCGAACTCCGCTCTCTTCCGTGCGCCCCCTGAATTTGAAAGAAATGTACAATATTAGGCTCGATAACTTCGGAGATGTAGCCTTAATCCTTTAGATTCCCACGAATAGACACAACTGCTGTCTTTCCAGCATCGCTCTTTTCCACAGCACGCAGAAGACGTAGGTAGGTTCTATTTCCGAGCAGGGAAATCCTTTTGTACAGTATTACGGACTGCCTGCTAAGACGTTCATCCTACTCTGAAACCAATGAACGACGTCTGTGGTGTAGTGGTTGGGCGCTTGGTCATGGCGCGCAGGAGAGCCGAGTTCGATTACCGTGTGGCGAGAATGTTTATCGAATCCAATATATTGGTCTTCCTGGGGGAGTGTTATATATCCCTCTCTGGCCGGGTTGGCCCGGACCGACAGGGTCGAAGCCCCGCCTCCTTTGTGATCCGAAACGGTGTCGATTGGGTCGTAAAAACACCAACATTTGAGGAACCAGTGGGCGCAGTGCTGATCAATATCATGCGCTGGAGATGGGTAAAAAATTTCGGTCTGACAGCGTGTGAACCTCGAGATCACTTGACAGGCGATGACAAAGGTTAAGTAGGTCGGGTGTCCAAAGTTACTCCCCTTTCCTTCTCGGTCACCCCCCCCCC